CCCCATTTCTTCATCTCAGATCAGGCGATCGCAAACATGGATCAAGGGGGCGTGGATTAGCGACGGGTCCCGTTTCAATGGGAAATCGCGGTGTTCCGCCGCCGAACGAGGCGGCGCTGGCCGCATTTTGGGGAGGGTACCTCCCCGACCCATGGACTTGGCGACCGCGCGCCAAATCCAGGCATGTTTGCGCGCCCCCGATCAGAGGAGGGCGGGGTGAGACGACGGGGGCCGGGCCTTCCCAGGAGGCCCCCGCGGCGCCACGGCGGGACGCCCCTGGGAGAGCCGGCGCGGCTGGTCCTAGGGGGGGGCGGTCCAGGGACCGATTTCATACTCCGCTCTGCCGCGATCGCTGCCGACAGGGGCCTCATGGCCCATCCAGCCGAGGACCCTGCGGTTCTGGTATCGGGGCATGCCGCCGATCCGTCCGCGATGCATCCTCCTCCTCCTACTCCTCCTCCTTCTCCTCCTCCTCCTCCTCCTCCTCCTCCTCCTCCTCCTCCTCCTCCTCCCCGGGCTGGTCCCCCCGACATGCTCAGAGGCCCCTTGAGCCCAGAGCGCGCCGGGGGCGGCGTCAGAGGCGCCGCCGGGGGCGCCCAGGCACATTGGCACAGGCCCTCGCACCCCTCCCCCCCCCCCTCGTGGAGTAGGTCTTGGCTGTTTTTGGCGCCTGTTTCGAGCAGCCCAGAGGACGCACGGCTTCAAACCGCCGCACCAAGCAGAGGTCCGGAGCCAGACCCCCTGCCTCCCCCCTTCCGCCCGATGTCGAAACGCTGAATCGTTAAGAGAACGCTCACTTTACAGCCGGGTCGATGAATAAGAAACTCTGTTCGGTGGGGAGGGGCTCAGTGATCCTAAGATGTGTTTTGTGTTGTTTGTTTCGAGGTGTTCTTCACGTTTTCGATGGGAAGTCGGGGTTCCCCTGATGGAAAGAAGGGGCCTCATTCCTTACTTAGGGTTATGTTGTTCCAACCTACTTTAGCCTTGATCACCATAATGAATATCGAGCACCAAGAAAACACCCCAAAACTTGAGGGCTTTCACGTATCGGGCCCTGGGAGACACCCTTTCGACACTGTTTCGACGCTCTTTCGACACTCTCTCGACACTATTCTGGGTGCTCGAAGTCATTTATGGGATTGGTCCGTAAGTACGATGGGAGCAACATTTGGGTTCTGTGTTTGTTATGTTTCGTTTTTTCATACGATGGTTGGTTGTTTTTTGTGTGTGTTTTTTTTTTGGGGGGGGGGGGTTAGGGCGATGGGATTTTTTTGACATTTTTTGCGTTTCGTCTAAAATCCCCTTGTATGGGGGACAGGCTTGACCTACACTTCGGGTTCCTCGTGACAGCGTGCGGCTGCCTCGCCTGCTCCTCTCGCGCCGGCCCCGGGGCGCGGGGCGCCCCAGAGGCGGGGCCAGGACGTTGAGGCCAGGCTGGGGCTACCTTTCAGTCGGGCCCGCCCCTCTACAGGGGGAGCGTTCGAGGATCGCCAACCAAAAACTGTCTGGGGACGGTTTGTTCTCCTATGTTTGCATATTTTGTTTAAGTGTTTTGCACTTTGCAAAATTTATAAGAAAAAACAACAAAACAAAAAACAAAAAAAAAAAACGAGAAAATCGCCCCAAATTGCCCCTGTATGGAAGACATGCCCGACCTGAGGCTACCTTGGGGGAAGGGGGGGGTGGCTGTCTGCGCTCCATGCGCACCCTCCGCGCCCTGCGATCCGACGTCGCCAGAACAGCGCCGCGCGGGGAGCTGCGAGCCGGAGCCCCAGACGTAAGGCGGGCCTGCCCCTCGACAGGGGGCACATCCAAAAGTAGTCAAAAAATAGTCCCTCGGCAGGGGGCACGTCCAGAAGTAGTCAAAAAATAGTCCGGGGACGATGTCTCGACTGTTGCTGGCTACTTTGAGGGTCTCCTGGGACCTTGTTGTCCTGCTTTCGCCCCGAATCCGACTGCAGTAAGGCACGCCCGACCTGATCCTAGACCATCCTCGACCCCATCTTTCTGCTGCACGTTCCGAGCCCGACCGACCTGTGAGGGTCGCCGCGGGCCCGAAACTGGACGAGAGTACAACGTGTGCAAGAGCTGGAACGCCCAGATCTCAGGGCTGCTAAGCTGGTCTCCCCTACCTGGACATTTCTAAGGTTGCCAGGGGGACGGGAGAATATATGGTCCAGGGTCTGGGCCCCCCCCCCCTCATGCTGATGCCATCGGTCCCCCCCCCCTGTTTGATGCCCCCCCCCCCCTGTGGGTGTGGCGTGGCGCTGCGGGTGTGGCGTGTGTGGCGTGGTACTGTGGTGCTCCAGGAGAGCTCCGGAGGTTGTCGTCGTCGTCGCCGTCGTCGTCGTCGTCGTCGCCGTCGTCGCCGTCGTCGCCGTCGCCGCCGCCGCCGCCGTTGTCGTCGTCGTCGCCGTCCTCGTCGTCGCCGCCGTCGTCGTCGTCGCCGTCGTCGTCGTCGTCGTCGTCGCCGTCGCCGTCGTCGTCGTCGTCGCCGTCG